TATATATATATATATGTATATATATATATATATATATTTGTCTGATATGATACTTCTTTTGGATGCTTAAAAAGAATTGACTTGATTTACTTTGAAAGTCTGCCTAAAAAAACGTATCAAGTTGTTGTGTATTTTTAATCAAGAAAGCCACACATGATTATGATTTCATTAAATTCATTTATATATATGGTTACTTTTCCAGCAAACATACACTCATATATAGATTAATATCTATGTAAATCAGCAGATATAATTATACTGGCACGTCATGCCTGCATTTTTAGAAGTTGACGTGTCTTCAGTTCATGTCTACATCAACATACGACATGAGTGTCCAGAAGTCAATAGGTGTATCTTGACTATATTTGGCAGTGTCCATGTCTAATGCAGGAGGTGGGGATGGTGGTGAGGTGGATGAATGTCCTCAGCAGGAGATGGTGTTGATGCTGATGGCACAACCTTACTACCATGACATGACAATGTTATGAGTTTCTATGGATGTGGAGGCAACTTTGTGGTGATGCAGATGTGGAACTAGGGGGTGTGGTTACATAATGCAACCTCACTCTTGGGAAACATGTATTCTGTATGGAGTGTGACACCATAGCTCCTTACCTGTTGTCTTTTTGGAAATCTTATCCCTACCAAGTTGTTTAGGATGGCCTCCCACTCTCCATGGCCTGTGATTGATGTAGGACATGGGTGAATCAAACTAATTCTAGGAAAGAAATCCAAAACCAAATAGAAAAGGAAATCAAATCTAAGTCTAATAAGATAAGTAAACCAAATCCTAGTCAAACAAGAAATCTATAGAAAACTTAGAAAACAAATTAAAAACGCAAAAATCATCCATTGCTCCAAAATTGCAGGATTGGAAGACCCAATTAAATAATTTCCTCTTCCATTCAACCTCCACCAGCTTATTTTCTTTTACATATTATTTTCTATATTTTCTTTTTCAAGTGAAAATATTTTTGTTTTGATCATTTTTATTTAATCTTAGTGAGCACAATGATTCTTGTTTCGTGATTAATTCTGATCCTAAGATTGACTTTTGTTTTTATTTTTCCTTGTTAGACATTTTTTGCCTGTGGTTTGTTTCTAAATCAGGGTTGTTGTTTGATCTGCATTTTTCATTGGTAATAATTATTTAATTTTGCAAATAACTTGAATGTTAACTTTATCTTTTTCCTAATATTATTAATCGCAGTGAGGTGGAGCGAATTGAGCTTTAAAATTTTAGACACATTTTGGGGTTAGAGTATGAAATGTTCCAACAGGGAGGGTAGGCCCCAAGATTGGTCGGGTGTTGGAGAAGGATAAATGAGCTGTTGCTATATTTGGCCGCATGATTATTTATTCATTCGCATGTTTCGTATATATTCTTTCTGATATCAACTTATTCCAGAATCATTATTGTTCCCCAATGATCTTAACTTTGTATTATTTTATGCTCTTCTGTTACTTTTCTTGAGATTCTGAAGAAACAAAACTGTGTTAAATTTTTTTATTTGTTGGAGAAAAAGAGGAAAATAAAGAATATGTCATCGACCCCAACTTAGTCTTGATACGTTTTTCACTTTACAGGAGAAAGATGCGCAGTGTGTGTACGGATTGCTGTTGTATAGTCTGGATCGCCTATACCATGCTGTCGAGAGACATGCAAAAGCAACCGGTGAATGGCAGTGGTTAGTTTCAGATCGCCATATTTACATACTATTACTGTATTTTAATGCTGTAATTTCTTGTGCTTTTTGATGAAAATCTTTGTTGCTTATTAATAGCTTGCTTGAGGGGTTGGGGATTATTTTAAAGTAATTTTATTTGGAAAAATAGCTTACTTGTTATATCATGAAACAGGTTGAGTCAAGATATAATTGATTTGGGGAAGCCCAGCCTTCAAACTGAATATAAACTCAGAGTGACCTCACGCTTGGAACGAGTGTATGACTGTCTGCTTCCTTCATTGAAACGCCAGTAGGAATCTTTCCCTGTCCTTTTCCTCTGTAAATTGCACATTAGAAAATTTTGTGAACAAAATGATTATAGTTCTTTTTTCCTTTTTCTTTCTTCAATGACTAAAGTAGCAACATACATTAATTTTCAATGACTAGAAGATACTTGAGTAACAATATTTGTTTTGCTCTCTTTTTTGTGGCTTTGAATTTTTTTTTTTTTTTTTTTTTCGGACAAAGCTTTGAATTTGGCATGGTAACCTTGTTTTTCATTTGTGGTTAATGCCAATTGACATGGTAAATCAGTTTTATTTTGCGTCACATCAAAGCACAGTTGACAATCAATTCATTAGTGGTTGATTGACAACAACACTGTAGTAGAGGGTTTACTTATTTTGGCACCAGAACGTAGAGAATATAACTAGTGATAACTGCCATTTTGCCCCACCGAACTATTATGATGGTGTGTCAATTTTACCTCGAACATTCTGTTAGAGCAGTCCACTGCAGAAGCCCAGCTCGGGCAAGGCCCAAGTCTCGCTAACGGAAGGGGCAAATTGTAAGGTTTCCGTGACGTTGAGTATGTATTGGTAAATGTCCTCAAAATCGGGTATGAACTCATAAATGACCCTATAGGTTGGGGGGTTTTTTGTAGTTTGTTCGTAAAGTTAATCCCATGTGAATAGTAATTGCACTTGGGTTGTTATGACAATGGGTGGAAAAGGAACAAAAATATTGCTAGGGCATATATTATTAATGTGAACAGTAACCATCCTTACTTGCCTTTTCTCTTTGCCATGGCAAATGGGTGGAAGTGTTCTTAGGATCCAACAATTTACTGTTGACACCCAACTTTTTACCCAATTGGGGAGTTTGCAGAGGGAGGGGAAGGGATGGTTGTTAGCCATGTTGGGGTGCAGAAAAACTTGTGTGAACACGTGCTATCATCAGCTAGTTATGCTATGTCAAGTGAAAAAGTTATTACGCATGGCATGATGTGATTGGTCTAGGATAACAAAATAATGTTGTTCCCATTGCACAGAAGTGTTTCTCGTCAAGGTGTCATCCGCACCTGGGTTGGGTCTACTAGAGCGCGTGTATGTGGCATTGGTGTGGGGTCGGGTGGGTGTTTGTGTTTTGATCTTTTTCTTATTATATTTTATTCAATGGTAAAATGAGTTGAGTACAAAAAAAAAAAAAACAGAATGGGTAAATTTGATTTTAGTACTCTGAACTTCACAAAGTTTCAACCTTTACTACCGAATTTTTTTTTTTTTTTTTTGGTGTCAACTTCATACTCGAACTTCGGTTTCCTTTCACTTTTATGCATCCGTGAGTTTTCCCATCAAGAAGTTTGTTAACTTATGATATTGTTGTAGATGAGAGTCATGAGACCACAAAAAATAATAAAACATGTCATTAAAAAACTATGAACCTTTAAACAAAAATTTAAAAGTAGGAAAAATCTCTCCATCTTCCTCTCTGTTGTCCTTACTCTCTCTTTGAATACTTTTTTTTTTCCCAGCTGAGGCTCGAGTTGAGCTTGGGTGTTTGGCGGGGAGAACCGTGGTGGGGCTCAACTGGACTCAAAGACGAAGAGAGCGAAGAGAAGGAAAGAGGGAGAGATGTTTTTAAATAATAATAATAATAATAATAAACTTTTAAACTTTAATTTTAAATTAATTTTTATCGTTACATGCGGCATAATATGAGTGAGTCCACATTGCTCATTCATTCCATGTCACAATTTAACAGACCTCTTGATGATAAGACTAATAGTGGATATGAATGTGGTAGGAAACCAAAGTTTTGGTACAAAGTTGATATTAAAAATAATTTATATTCACATTCGATTAAAGAGTATTGGAAAAAAGAAAAAAGTATCATATTGTATTGTAACTCCAACTAAATGGGTTCTCTAACACATTCTACTTAGCTTTTCACAACCATGATATATTGTTCAACGTCACTCATGGTTTGTGGAAGGTTTTGTCCAACGTGATGTCACTGATCTAGACCAAGGTTGTACTCTTTTTTCCTTCACTAAGGTTTTGTCCCACTAGGTTTTCCTAGCAAAGGTTTTAATGAGACAACTAAGTCATTGTATGGTGGACATCCAAGGAGAAATGTTGTAAATACATGAGTTGGTGGATGACCACCATACCTCTTAGTTTTTGGATTCTACGTAACCTATGCACTAAATATTTGTAATTAGTGCTTATAACGTATAGGGTTAATTTCAGTTTGGTACCCCGTAGTTGTACCCTTAAGGCATATTAGTACCTATCTTTTTAATTTTAACAGTAATGTACCCCAAATTTAAAAAATCGTTTCAATGTGGTTCATGTTGGAGCAAGATTTCTTTCAAGAAGAAACACCTCCACAATTTATTGACTGAGGTTTTCCACGCTTCCTTGGTTGAAAGAGAACTTCGGATTACGTTACTGAGGTCGAATGGTGGAAATGGGGTGAGTACATGCAAAAGTCACTCCAACGCTCAAGTCAGTATTTGTGCAGCGTACTCTTAGTGTTCGATTGAATTTCTCATACCTTTGCTGGAGGTCTAGCCGGGTTTTTATAGCACTTCGAGTTCTTGGGTTTAGCCCCACTTCCCTAGCTTTGCGCATCCCGTCATCCACTTCATGGTAATGGGATCAGATGACTGATTTGTGTCTTCCTTGCTCTGCACTTCTCTAGTGGGAGGGAAGTTCGATCATCCCACGTCTTTTAGTTGTGGCATATGGGTTAAGCCATGACACGTGAGATTTGGTCCCCACAATTCCGATGTTAGGTTGAGCATCAAAAAATCAGTTAAGTGATGACGTGGCACACGTGGGACCTATTGTTTTTGCTTATGTGGACAAAAATAAAATAAAAACAAAAATAAAAATAAAAGAAGAAAAAAAACCTCTTCATCTCCGTTTCTCGTTGCTCGCACCTTAGGCCTTACGGCTCCAAAGACCCCCGCCCACCCAGAATATGTTCCCCCTTCCCCATCCCCTTCCTCCTCGATGCCTCCACTTTTCTCCTTCATGCCATTTGCAGTCATCACCTCTCCCCCTCTACCTTGGAATGTCGTCACCGCCAATTCCTCTCCACCACGGCCACCCTCCACACAAATTCCCTCAGCCTACCCAACAAAATCAATTTCCCCCCCATGATTTGTTGCCGCAGAATCTCACCCCACAAGTTTTAAATCTTTATCAGCAAAGTTTTTATGCTTTTGAGCAATTATGGGTATGCACAAATAGTAGGTTTGTGAGAAAATCATAGGATGCAACCCACTCCACTGCAAATCAAGTTGACACAAATCACTTATTTGAGCAGTTTCTTCTAAATCGCTCAAGGCCACCACACAATCCAGATTCCAGGCACAAATCAGATAAGCTAATAGAAATCATCTTCCTTGAAATCCAACACAACAAGACCACCTCCTAGTGCGAACGACAACGAGGGTTGCTTTGGATTGAGAGAGAGAGAGAGAGAGAGAGAGAGAGAGAGAGAGAGGATGTGTGGTTTAGGTTGGGTGGGGTTGAGGTTGGAGTGGTGGTTATGGTTTAGGTTAAAGTTGGGGGAGGAGGCGACAAGAGAGAAACGAAGATGAAGAGGTTTTTTCTCTTCTTTTATTTTTATTTTTGTATTTAATTCTTATTTTGTCCACATAAGCAAAAATAATAGGTCCCACGTGTGCCACGTCATCACCTAACGGCGGAACCACATTGCAGCGAATTTTCAAACTTGGGGTACGTTATTGTTAAAATTGAAAAGATAGGTACTAACATGTCTTAAGGGTACAACTACAGGGTACCAAACTGAAATTAACCATAACCTATATGTATATTGTAAATAATGGTATTCAATCTCCTAACCTGTAAGCCTATATATAGGTGGCTCTACCAAATATGAAAGAAAAATATACATGGTGAAACTTTATCTTTAACACATCACTTCTCTCTACATTTTCTACCTTAGTTTTATAACACGTTATTAGCACAACACTCCCCGTGGTATGTTTTCTTTCCCTGATTTCTTCATTTTATTATATAAGCTAGAGTCAATGTTAGAGTTTCTTTATACTCACCATCGTACTTCACCATGCTTGTTTTAAAAAGCCAATGTTAGACATACCACATTTGCATACCACCTTATTTACAATATCTCTAATACAGGTGGAGCCCACCAATATGATGGCCAAACTCCATTAGAGAAGTGGTATACAAAGCGGTATATAAATGTATGATTAGCATTTTTGTTTTCTCAAATACATAAAAAATATATATATATTATAAATGGAGAAAACGGTTCAAAAAGTCTTGGGAAATCAAAGGCCATTATTTTTACATTTTATATTGTTTTGAGGTCTTAGTTCGGTGGGACTATAGGTTAGAGCAACTCCAGCGGTTGCCTTTGCCTAGGCAGGAGTGAGCCCAAATTGCAGGTTGGCATTCCAACGGGCCTAAGTTGCCTGGGCAGCAGTTGGGTCCCAGCAAACTGGGCTAGCCTAAAGGCAAAAACAGCCTGGACTGTTGCCTGAGTTGCTGACGTCAGCAATGAAAAATTTTTAAAAAAAATTAAAAAAAATACTAAAAATTTCAGAATTTTTTAAATAAATATTTAGATTCACACCAAAACTTCATACAAATTCCTCTCGTCGTATCTCATGTGAATAGTGGTTGCCATGGCAATGGGTGGAAACACTACAAGCCTTTGCAAGGGATGTTACTATTCACATAAATAGTAACAGCCCTTGCCTTGCCCTTGCTCTTTGCATTGGAAAATGGGTGAAAGTGCTCTTAATGTTCCATATTCCAATGCAAAAGCATTTGCTACAAATCCCTTTTTTTTAATTGATATAATACAGCTATATGTATTATTCGCGTAAAATATGGTTTTCACAATTGAATGGGAAAAGTATTTTTTTTCAATAATACGTACTCGTATTATAAGCATAGTGTTGAGGCCCAAAAATTCAGGGTTGGGCCCAAATAAATTCTCGGCCCAACATAATGCCTTATTAAGAAAAAGACTCGGTTCGGAGCATGCAAAATTCCTCATTCATGCTTGCACAAGCCACGACCACATGCCATGCCAAATAAATATGCAATCTCTCACGCTAAGAGTTGAAATAAGCACTGACTCTACGAGCCAATGCTAATTACCCCATCAAGCATCATGCCTCTATTCAAGGAC